GCGCGCGCGCGCGGCGCGGCGCGGCGCGCGGCGCGCGCGCGGCGGCGCGCGGCGGCGCGCGGCGGCGGCGGCGCGGGGCGCGCGGCGCGCGGCGGCGCGGCGCGGCGGGCGCGCGCGGCGCGCGGCGGCGCGCGCGCGGCGGCGGCGGCGCGGCGGGCGCGGGCGCGCGCGCGGCGCGCGGCGCGGCGCGCGGCGGCGCGGGCGCGCGCGCGGCGCGGGCGGCGGCGCGGCGGCGGCGCGCGGCGCGCGGCGCGGCGGCGCGGGCGGCGCGCGGCGCGCGGCGCGGGCGGCGCGGCGCGCGGCGGCGGCGCGCGGCGGCGGGCGCGGCGCGCGCGGCGCGGCGGCGGCGGCGCGCGGCGGGCGCGCGGCGGCGCGGCGCGCGCGGCGGGCGCGGCGCGGCGGCGCGGGCGCGCGGCGGGCGCGGCGGCGGCGCGGCGCGGCGCGCGCGGCGGCGGGCGCGCGCGGCGCGGCGCGCGGGCGCGCGGCGCGGCGGCGCGCGCGGGCGCGCGGCGGCGCGGCGCGCGGCGCGGCGCGCGGGCGCGGCGGCGGGCGCGGCGCGCGGCGGCGCGCGGCGGCGCGCGCGGGCGCGCGGCGCGGCGCGCGGCGGGCGGCGCGCGGCGGGCGCGCGGCGGCGCGGCGCGCGGCGGGCGCGCGGCGCGGCGGGCGGCGCGGCGCGCGGGCGCGCGCGCGGCGCGGCGCGCGGCGCGGCGCGGCGGCGGGCGCGCGGCGCGCGGCGGCGCGCGCGGGCGGCGGCGGCGCGCGCGGCGCGCGGCGGCGCGCGGCGCGGCGGGCGGCGCGCGCGGCGCGGCGGGCGCGCGGCGCGGCGCGCGGCGCGGCGGCGCGGCGGCGCGGCGCGCGCGGCGGCGCGGCGCGGCGGCGCGGCGCGCGGCGCGGCGCGCGGCGCGGCGGCGCGCGCGGCGCGGCGCGGCGGCGGGCGCGCGGCGCGGCGGCGCGCGGCGCGGCGGCGCGGCGCGCGGGCGGCGCGGCGCGGCGCGCGGCGCGGCGGGCGGCGGGCGCGCGGCGGCGGCGCGGCGCGCGCGGCGCGCGCGGGCGCGCGGCGGCGGCGCGCGGCGCGGCGGCGCGCGGCGCGCGGCGGCGGCGCGGCGCGGCGCGCGGCGGCGCGGCGGGCGCGGCGCGGCGCGCGGCGGGCGGCGCGCGGCGCGGGCGCGGCGCGGCGCGCGGGCGCGGCCGGCGCGCGCGGCGGCGCGCGCGGGCGCGCGCGCGGCGCGGCGGCGGCGCGCGCGGCGCGCGCCGGCGCGGGCGCGCGCGCGGCGGCGGCGCGCGCGGGCGGGGCGGCGCGCGCGGCGGCGCGCGCGGGCGGCGCGCGGGGCGCGGCGCCGCGCGCGGGCGCGGCGCGGGCGCGGCGCGCGCGGCGCGCGGCGCGCGGCGCGGCGCGGCGGGCGGGGCGCGCGCGCGCGCGGCGGCGCGTCGCGCGCGCGATCTGCCCCGGCGCGCCGATAGCGGCGAGGGCCGGCCGCCAGACACCAAACGCTGTTTTCACAAGCACGTTTATCACAAGGAACCTTTTCACTTTCCTTCTTAAACCCATTAATATAGGCCATTGATCCGTTTCCCATTGATTACCGCATTGCGTTTCCCTTGATTTCATATTCCCGTTAAAAGCTCAATATGGTGGGCGGCATCCGGTTTCGGATTTGCCTGTCACTGTGGCAAGCCACAGGACGCCTGCGCCTACAGAGGGACCATGGATGGCTTGCGCTGCACCACCCACAGCTCCAACCACACACCCCATATCCAGTGTAAACCCGAAGGAATAAGACCGGGAGGCATGCGGATGGGACCACGTTTCATCAACGGAGCCGGCCCACACTCCTTCACAGGCAAACACAAGCACGCTGTATTTGGGGAATCAAGCGCACACAAGGCGGTGGCTGGACCGTAGTCCGCTCCACACAGACTGCATGGAACCACTCTTCGAGCCTAACACGGCCACAAGGACCGTGCACACCCGTCCCCTCCAGCAACGACCAACTGTCTCCTGGAGCCAGTATGGACGAGGTAGTGGGTAATAGACAGGTAGGCACCTTGTCAACATGCACATCAAGCGCAGCCACACCGGGGATATCAAACAACAGCCAATCACTTGAGAGAGAGAGAGAAAGAAAAAGAGAAAAACTCGATTAATGCATAAGGAAACGGTGACATAAACCTTAATTAAATAGCATATGTAATAAGTTGTTTACAAACAAATCCTAGCTAAGTGCACGAGGTCAGGAAGTATAGTTCACGGAATGCCACGAACACAAAAATGTTATGGAAATCGAATACAATTGGCTGAAGCGATGTGTGCAAGTTAATGGAATAGAGTACAGGAGATATTTATATGAGAAAGAAAAGCATTAAGGTAAAAACTGTAAACCCACCACCTGAAATAAAGAGACTTAGCATGCAAGCACGCGGTTAGTAAATCGAATTCAGCGTGCCTACAAACGCTGCGCCGGCTCGTCGTAATTCTCTGCAGGACCCGTCGTCGCTTCTGTAGTGGCCCCAAATGGCACTAGCTCATGGCCCACTAGACATTTATATGAGAAAGAAAGGCATTAGGAGAGAACCGAAAACCCACCACCTGAAATAAAGAGACTTAGCATGCAAGCATGCGGTTAGTAAATCGAATTCAGCGTGCCTACAAACGCTGCGCCGGTGCTGCCTACGTTCACTGCGGGACCCGTCGTCGCTTCGGCAGTGGTCCCGAGTGACCTCTCTCATGGCTCACTAGGCCTGCCTGACTAAGGCACTCGCGAACGCATGTTCTACAGCACAATGCGCTCGATGTCGATGGAGTACAATTCATCGGTGCTTGCCGCTTCCGAACTTGCCGCTTCTTCTCTGCATGCATGAGGGCTTTCTCCCGCACTTCAGCAACTGCCTTCGTGATTAGATCGCGCCATGCACCACGATCAACCGCCTTCGATTCCCATGATCTGCAATCAAGATTAAACGTGTGAGGCTCACTTTAATCATGTCCTGGTAACGTAACTTTGGTGTCCCCAGCATGCCGCTTCCCTATACTCAGCTGACCGTATAAAAGTTGTTTCGGTATCCGCGTCGAATCCATACGGCTCACATGACCGAGCCATCTCAGGTGTCGCAGTAAAAGTATGCCGTCCACTGCATACATCCCACTTCGGCGCAACACTTCCGTGTCTGCAACTCTGGCGCCCCAGCCGATCCGCAAAATTCGTCGCAGACACTGCTGATGGAACCGCTCGAGATATCGCACATCCCGACGGTACATCGTCCACGTTTCACTGCCGTATAGAAGAACGGACAGTACCATGGATTTGTACACCATCAGCTTCGTGCCAATGCTAAGCTGATGGTTGTTCCACACTCGGTACTCAAGCTTCCCGAATGCCGCCTGCCGGCCTTCGACACGCGATTACGCAACTCAACGTGTAGCTGCTGATCAGTCGTCGACATCACACTCCCAAGGTAGCAGAAGCGGGAGGTGGTTTCCAATACTTCAGCACCAATGCTGATTTGCGGCAATATTGAAGATTTTACCTCCGGTGAAGGCTGGAAGAGAGAGACAGTTTTGCTTGTGTTTGATGGTGAGCCCGAATTAGGCCGGTGTCGAAGCCAGATCACTAGTCATGTGCTGCAACTCATCCGCGCTGTGTGAAAACAACGAACAGTCGTCAGCAAACAGCAACATACGGATGTTTGTCTCACAGACTAGAGTTCTCGCACCGAAACGACGGATGTTCAGCAACCCACCATCAATACGGTGCTCCACACGAACACCGTAAGCACAAGCCGCATCAAAAGCACAAGACAACATTGCATGAAGATAGATATTAAACAGGGCAGGAGCTAAGACACAGCCTTGCTTCACACACCAGAGACAACTGCAAAGTCATCCGAGGTCTCTCCACTCAGCTGCACCCTCGCTCGCATACCACTGTGCAGACATTCAATTAAACTTACAAACTTACGCGGGCAACCAAACTTACCCAACACCAGCCACAATGGCCTCGCGGTTCACCCGTATCAAATGCCTTGGTGAAATCAACAAAAAGCGAGTACAATGGCTGGTGTCGTTCCTGCAATTCTCTTGCAACTGACGAGCTGGCAAACACCATATCTATAGTGCTCGGCGAACTCCTGAACTGGAATCACACTGCTCTTTCCGCCCACGTTCTGCGCCTTCCATCAATCCGACTCCACGAGGCTCGGATTGAGCAGGGTTTCGGGCAATCACCTTGCCCACACCACAACTCAACAAGTTGAGTGCCCACGATCATTTCGTGCCCAACATTGCTTGCTTCCCTCTTGGCCCTTTGTACTAGCTGGCGTAGCCACAAGCGGCATCATCTCAGCCACCTCAGCAGGCCACCTCCTCCTCCAATCCACACGCGTTGCAAACCAAGTAGGTGCGCGCAGATCAACAACGCGGGTCCACCGTGTTTCAATACTCCGACTTCCGCGGGATCCCGTCACCTCCGGCACATTTGCCGTTTCGCAGCAGAGCAAGCGCTCCTCTGCGTCTCATCCCGGGTCGGCGGTATCCGCCAGATCCGCCTTCACAATCGTGCTGCTTGGATGGCCGGTTCAACGTAGGCCAGTCGATATCTCTGAACGGTTGTTCAAAAGACAGTCAAAAGTGTTTCCCCCCCTGTCCTCCTCCCCTTCCCCCCCCCCTCCCCCCCCCCCCCCCCCCCCCCCTCCCCCCCCCCCTCCCCCCCCCCCTCCCCCCCCCCCCCCCCCCCCCCCCCCCCCCTCCCCCCCCCCCCCCCCCCCCCCCCCCCCCCCTCCCCCCCCCCCCCCCCCCTCCCCCCCTCCCCCCCCCCCCCCCCCCCCCCCCCCCTCCCCCCCCCCCCCTCCCCCCCCCCACCACCCCCCCTCACTTCCTCCCCCCCCCCCCCCCCCCCCCCCCCTCCCCCCCCCCCCCACCCCCCCCCCCTCCACACCTCCCCCCCCCCTCCCCCCCCCCCCCCCTCCCCCCCCCTCCCCCCCCCCCCCCCCCCCCCCCCTCCCCCCCCCCCCCCCCCCCCCCCCCTCCCCCCCCCCCCTCCCCCCCCCTCCCCCCCCCCCCCCCCCCCCCCCCCACCCCCCCCCCCCCCCCCCCCCCCCCCCACCCCCTCCCCCCCCCCCTCACCCTCACCCTCCCCCTCCCCCTCCCCCCCCCCCCCCCCCCTCCCCCCCCCCCCCCCCTCCCCTCCCCCCCCCTCCCCCCCCTCCCCCCCCCCCCCCCCCTCCCCCCCTCCCCCCCCCCCCCCCCTCCCCCCCCCCCCCCCTCCCCCCCCCCCCCCCCCCCCCCCCCCCCCCCCTCCCCCCCCCCCCCCCCCCCCCCCCCTCCCCCCCCCCCCCCCCTCCCCCCCCCCCCCCCCCCCCCCCCCCCCCCCCCCCCTCCCCCCCCCCCCCCTCCCCCCCCCCCCCCCCCTCCCCCCCCCCCCCCCCCCCCCCCCCCCCCCTCCCCCCCCCCCCTCCCCCCTCCCCCCCCCCCCCCCCCCCCCCCCCCCCTCCCCCCCCCCCTCCCCCCCCCCCCCCCCCTCCCCCCCCCCCCCCCCCCCCTCCCCCCCCCCCCCCCTCCCCCCCCCTCCCCCCCCCCCTCCCCCCCCCCCCCCCCCCCCCCCCCCCCCCCTCCCCCCCCTCCCCCCCCCCCCCCCCCCTCCCCCCCCCCCCCCCCCCTCCCCCCCCCCCCCCCCCCCCCCCCCTCCCCCCCCTCCCCCCCCCCCCTCCCCCCCCGCCTCCCCCCCCCCTTCCCCCCTCTCCCCCTCCCCCCCCCCCCCCCCCCCTCCCCCTCCTCCTCCCCCCCCCCCCCCTCCCCCCCCGCTCGCCCCGTCCCCTGCCCACCCCCCCCCCCCTCCCCCCCCCCCCCCCCCTCCCCCTCCCCCCCCCTCCCCCCCCCCCCCTCCCCCCTCCCCCCCCCCCCCCTCCCCCCCCCCCCCCCCCCTCCCCCCCCTCCCCCCCCCCCCCCCCCCCCCCCCCCCTCCCCCCCCCCCCCTCCCCCCCCCTCCCCCCTCCCTCCCCCCCCCCCCTCCCCTCCCCCCTCCCTCCCCCCCCCCCCCCCCCCCCCCCTCGTAATACTCCGTCTCCCTCTCGATCCTCTCCGCTCGCTCTTCCTGACTCCGCTCCTCTGCACCTCTCCACCTCTCCCGCCAGACCTGCATTATGTCTGCAGTCTGGGTGCAGGTAGCGCCTGAACTACCATCGATCAGTGTCCTCAGCGGCTCCAATCTCGGTCCATACACCGCCTTCAAGGAGTCAAGAATTCCTTGTGTTGACGGCGTTCGGCGTAGCATTCCATCTGCTTCGCCTTCTCCGTCCACCATGCATTTTTAATGCGACGGAGCTCTCGGGTCAGTCGCCGTCGAAGTTTGCGAAACTGACTACTCTTCCCCAAGTCACTGGGGTCTGCCACATGTGCAGCAAATGCTGCATTCTTTTCTGACACCAATGTGCCAATCGTCGCATTGTTGTTATCAAACCAATCAGGCCGCTTACAATTTGAGCGCCCGATGGTCTCCTCGGCAGCAGCTGTCACCTGGTCGCGAATGTGGTGCCACAGGTCGCCCACTGTGGCTATGCAGTCCACATCACCACACAGGCGTGCAGCCATCGCCTTCTCCAGCTCAGTACGTTTCGCCACAGTACCGATGGTGAGAATGTTAAATTTACGCCGATTCACGGCGGGTGTGCAATACATAGATTTACGAAAATATATGTACAGTTTGGTCCGAACCAATTTGTGATCAGTGCCACACTCAGCTCCACGCAGTACACGTGTCATGCGCACTTCACGCATAGCATACTGATGTACGATGACATAGTCGAGCAGGTGAGCGTGAGCACTCCGTGGGTGCGTCCAAGTTGCTATATCACTCGCACTCAGTGCGAACCGAGTGTTCGTGATCGTCTGGCCGTGAGTGGCACACAGTGAGAGCAGCCTGTCACCGTTCGCGTTCGCTGAACCAATGCCATGCGCACCGATAACATCTGTCCACGCTGATGCATCACGCCCAACGCGCGTGTTGAAATCACCCAGCAGAAATAGTCGGTCACTCCTCGGCACAGACCGTAGCACGGAGGATAGCTCAGTGTAGAACTGATCACGCGTGTCATCAGAATAACACATGGTCGGACCGTACGTGCTTATAAAAGTAGCAAACTTACCTCTTCCGAGTCGTAGGCGAACAGTCATCAGTCGCGCACTGATGCCCGTTGGTTCACCCACCAGCTGGCCATTCAGGCGATCGGATATTGCAAATCCGACCCCATGTTCACGTGGTGCTGAAGCGGCGTTGCCCACCCAGTAGAATGTGTAGCCAGCACCTGCTTCATGTAACTTACCTTGCTCAGCGAGCCGAGTTTCACTGAACGCCGCAATATCGATGTGGTAGCGCGCCAGCTCCATTGCGACCAGTGCAGTGCGTCGCTCCGGGCGCTCGCTGGAGTTCCGGTCCAGTAGTGTGCGCACGTTCCAGCACCCGATGCTGAGTGCTTTGCGCGCAGACATACGATTGCATTGGTGGGCAATCGCACTCGAGGTGGTCGTTGTGCTTCGGAGGTTTGCTTGAGGGACTCCACCCGGAGCCTTTGGCTCAGTAGCCTGACCCACAAGGCAGTGGGTGGTTTAGAGATTTGCTTGAGGGACTCCACCCGGAGCCTTGGGCTCAATGGCCTGACCCACAAGGCAGTGGAGAGCAGATCCAGCTCGGGAATGTGATTGCAGAGACAGATTGGGATCTGCTTGACGGCCGTCATACGCAGCCTTTGAAGTTCTGGAACAATTATCATATGTTTTGCGACCGTAATTGGATACGCACCTGCGACCACGGCCAGACGCAGGTGGGTTTTTGGCGGGTTTGCACCAATTTGACCAGGGACTGCCTGGCTTGAGGCGGGCAATAGCAAACCATTGAACACCCGGAGGTGTCTTCCCACCGTCAGAGAAAATGCGTGGCCCTCGTGCTCTACGCCAATCGAGCTGTGAGATTATAACCCGTAAACCTGTTGTCTCCCATGGCTAGGTTTTACGGGAATAGGGCCATCGACCACTTCCTAACCTCCGGAGAGGATGGACTAGGATACTGCCAGGGCGCCCAATCCTGACAGGAGAACGACTCGGGTCCTCAGCCAAAGCCTTCGATTAAATGAACACCCGAAAGGCAGCGAGTCTAGCACATGGTCAGTTAGCCGACTCATGCGGATTGGTGTCCTGGATCTTAGCAGGGAGAAGGGCGAAACCCAACTCCCACCCAGCGGTCGCCACGTGGAGGCGCCCAGGACATGAGCAAATAGCGCAACAGTAGCAGCAGTGGGTAGACCATCTGTCAGGATCTAGCCACCACCAGCCTCAGCGCACCATAGGCTCTCCCGCCTAAAGATCATATACATATACATATATATGCATGAAAACTGACTAACAGTTAACCAACATAGGTTGTGCCTAATCACATCTGCCTTAATATGTCATATATATACATAGCATATTCCTATATAGCATATTAAGGCAGATGTGATTATGCACAACCTATGTTGGTGAACTGTTATCAGACACTTCGAACAGCAGATGTTCATGACGCGTCAAATTGCACGGTGGGCATGCATCCATAATCTGTGCAATTGACGAAAACAAAATCCCACGTATTCACTTCCATTGCCACGTTAACTAATCACAACTAGGGATGCTTACCTTACAACAAGCGCAAGTAGGTGGTATATATATATACATATATATATATATATATATCGTATAAGCGGGCACAAACCTACGCCCTTTTATATCCAGTTATCCCTAAGTATCTGTGCATATGAATGGTTCAATGGTTCAATGGTGAATGATGGGATAAAAAGCATAACTTTACAAGACCCACAGGATGGATATGCAAAAGAAAATTAAAATCAAAATGTTCCAACGTGGAACGTAAAGTATCAGTGGTTAAATCATTGCACTTTAACAAAGTGTTGTGTATCGTTTATCACTAAGATGAAAATCTAAGAGTCTTTCGAATGTCGTCATGTCTGGTGCGTTCACCACATAGTTTGGTAATGCATTCCAGTGAGAACAGATTCTAAGTGAGAAAAAATACTTTCTACAATTCAAACGAGAGTGTTGCGTCATTAGTTTCAGGTGGTTGCCTCGGTTTTGTTTGTATGGGGCTAGAGTCAACAGCGATGTACATGGATGCTCGCTTTCGGTTAGTATCCGGTATGTGAGAGTAAGATCACCGCGAAGCCGTCGGTATTCTAATGAGAACACCCCGAGTACACGAAGACGCATTTCGTAACTTATACCGGATAGTCCACGCGTTGCTTTTGTGGCTCTTCTTTGGGGCTGTTCCAAGAGGCGGATGTCTCGTTTTAACCATGGACACCAGGCCTGAATTGCATATTCAACATGAGGACGAATGTAGGAGTTAATCAACAATGGTACTAGCTGTCGCTCAAAAGTGCCGAGAGCTCGCCTCAAAAGTCTCAAGTTCAAGTTCGCTACACTTGCTGCTTTCGAACACTGGAGCGAATTTCCAAGACTCTCTTGCACGATTATACCTAGGTCGCGTTCACTAGTCACGTGTTGCATGACATGTTGCCCCAAAAGGTATGTGTTAACGAAGCTGTTGTGCACCGTCAGCAGGTGGCACTTTGCAGGGTTCAGTGGGAGCTGGTTCTTTTCTGCCCATTCGTTAATCCGGGTCAGATCTTCCTGGAGGTAGACATGGTCGGATGCTGAGCGAATAGCTCTCCATATTTTAGCGTCGTCTGCAAATATTTGCATTGGAGATAGAATGTCTGCTGGAAGGTCATTGATGTAGACTAAAAATAGTAGCGGGCCGAGGACGGATCCTTGTGGAACACCACTGGAGACGTAAAGGCTTTCGGAATAGGTGTCAGCTACTCTTACCTTGATTGCTCTGTCGTGTAAGTAGTCTTCCAACCAAGTGAGCAGGGAACCGTTGATACCGTAGGCAGCAAGCTTTTGGAGGAGAAAGAAGTGATTGACCCTGTCGAATGCTTTAGAAAAATCCAGGTATATCACATCTATGGGGACTCCTTCATCAGCCGCCCTGGTCCATAAGTCCCGAGTAATCAGCAAATTGGTGAGACAAGATCGTCTGCGTCGGAACCCATGTTGGGCATTAGAAATTATCAGTTGACTTTCAAAGTATCGCGTCAGTTCATCTGCGATTACCGATTCCATAACTTTTGACAAAACAGGAAGGAGAGTAATAGGTCGGTAGTTAGCAGGATCCGAACGCTTACCACCTTTATATATCGGAGTGATAATTCCATTTTTCCACTCAGATGGGAGTGTATGGGAGTTAAGCAGACACTGAAAAAAGGTTGCAAGTGGTGTTGCTATGGTGGGGGCAAGGGTTTTTAGTACTTTTGGGCAGATCATGTCGATTCCAGGGGCACTGTACTCCCGGAGAGACTGTAGTTTGCTTGCAACAGCTGCTGGAGTAAACGTGACGCTGGATAAGCCAACGACATTTGTTGGGAGTTGATAGGGCGAAGGTCCCATGACATTTGTAGCTACCGAGCCAAACTGCAAGAGTAGAGCATTCGCGACATCCACAGCAGTAGTTGTTGGGCCATTGGCTGTCCTGAGTGGTGGTATTCCAGGCTTAACCTTTCTTTTGCCATTCACAAATCTGTATAGCAGTTTGGTGTTACTCGTAAATTTTAGCACCATATTCTCCTGCCATTCGTACTTGTCGACCCTAATGAGTGACGTGCAGTAGTTTCTTATGACTTTGTAATCCTGCCATGTGATATCACATGGGCTTAGCAAATGTTGCCTCCAGATTTCATCTCTTCTGTTGATCCATTTACGTGTTCTGCTCCGGATCCACGTATTGGTCCGGCGCGATGCTCGTAATGGTACAACCTTCGATGCTGATTGTATGACCCAGTTAATTTTGTCTTTCAATTCATTCCACGCGTCATTCGCTGAGCTGTGCATCTGTAGGTCCCAGTCAACGGTTGCTGCTAAGCTGCGCAGCTTATAATAGTCCGTAATAGTTCGTTGAGTCTCACTTTCTGTAGCAACAATACTGGCATAACATACGTAAGCAAATGTTAGGACTGAATGGTCGCTACGGCCCAGTGGAGGATCGTATGCTACTGACTCAACCATCAACTCTTCATTAGTCAGGATTAAGTCCAG